AGAGCCTCAAGCGACGTTCTCGGCCTGCTTTGGTGCGGCGTTCATAATGTTGCATCCTACCAGATATGCGGCCATGCTAGCCGAAAAGATGAAGAAGCACGGCGCCACCGGCTGGCTCGTCAACACCGGCTGGTCCGGCGGCCAATATGGCTCTGGTAGCCGGATTAAGCTTTCCTACACCAGAAAAATCATCGACGCCATACATTCCGGCGAGCTCCTCAATGCTGATTACCGTAAAACCAAAGTCTTCGGCCTCGAAATCCCCGCTGCCATTGAAGGAGTCCCGTCCGACATTTTGGACCCAATAAACACTGTAAACTTTCTCAACCAACAAAATATAAAAAAACAAAAAACTTTTTTTTTTTAATTTCTGACATTTTGTTTTTTGATTTTGCAGTGGTCGGACAAGAAGGCGTACGAGGACACGCTGCTGAAGCTGGCGGGTCTGTTCAAGAACAACTTCGAAACATTTACCAATTACAAGATTGGAGAAGACAACACTCTGACAGAGGAAATCCTTGCCGCCGGTCCAAACTTTTGAAATTCAAATTAATAAAAAAATAAAATAAAGGGTTTCCAGTTCCAGTAGTGGAAATAATTCATCTGTAAAATGGTCAGCGTCTATTTATTATTATTATTATTTTTATTTTCCTTTAATTCTTTTTAATGACGATTTGTTAAGGCTTAAGAGAGCTATATTTATTTATGTTGCTTCCCTCCCACTTGTTTTGAAGGCCAAGAGTTGGGATATAGGGGAGAGAGATTTGTTTCTAGTTTAATAATACATGGCCATGTAAAAATACCAGAATTCTCGATATATTTATTTGAGTTAATATACTTGCAGATTCTGAAGAATTGTTCTTCTCTTGTTTAGCTTCTTCATCTTCTTGTGTCTTGATTAAATTTCCTACATAAAATCCAAAATGAATGATATGGGAAAGTTTAAATCTATCTGAAGCAAATACAAAAATGTTTCCTATATATACAATTCATATGAGTTGTTAAAATTTAGTAACCTAATACCATATATTTATAACATTCACCAAAAAAGAAAATCTATATCTTCTTAATTGTAGAGCCTAAAAACAAAATTTAAGAGTCTACTTTTTGAAATTTGACGAAAATTTTAAAAAAGTCTTTAAAATATATTACGAACAAAAGCACATGCATTAAATAAACTGTTTACCTTCTTAATTAAAACGAAATTTTAGCCTACCTGGATTATTATAGTTGATTTAACTGTACTTGATTAAAATCTGTTCAATTATACTTGAGTCCATTCTAGAGTCGGCGAGTGATTCTAATTAATTTGTACTTTTAAACTAAATATTGCTTCAATGTAATACAACCATAATGAGAAATGGATATTTCGATAGAAATGGATTTGGGAGGTGCAATTGAACCTATACAATAAGGAAATGAGCTTCTATGCTCAATAGAATTCAAGAGGGTTATCAAGAAGAGGCTCGGTCTTTTAACAACTCTCCTTTACCATCGAACAATATATCCTTAGGAGTGATTTAGGAGTGAAACAAATCAGACCAACTTGAAAAATCAAATCGATTCGAACCAATTTAATTTGGGCCAATCATCAGCTAGAACCAAATAGAATCGATAATATTCGGTTCAGATTGGAGTTATAACTTATAAGCGAAAGAAATTAGGGTATCTTCATCTCCACTAAATTGCTCATGGCCTCACCTCAGTCTTACTCAGCACGTTCTCACACTCAGCAAATCGACACCAGACTCTTACGACCGGCGACCCACCACACTCGACGACTTGCACCCTCCTCCCTCCCTCCCTCATATTATCCATTTCTCTTTTGTCGTAGAAGAAACTACCCTTAGATGTCGGTGGCCCTTGATCCTCAGACGGCCAGTGACCCATCGCCATAAATGAGGTCGAACATCAAGTGACATACTCCATGTATCTTGGAAGTATGTTGTTTTAAATATGATAAATAAAAGTGGCACAAAAAATTCCATCCAGGTGAATGATCTCTACTAGTGCGATACATCAATACTAGTTATGTATCCCATAGGTAAATACTGTATGAAGAGCCCAACGCTTTCCTTATATAATGCAAATATAGAGAAATTAAGAATATTCAAACTAGGTTTTTTTGGTACAACATATTTGGGTATTGAGATTTGAACATCCAACCTCAAGAAAAAGAGTAGATGTCATTTATCTAAGTTTATGACAAGAATATTCCAACTAGGGTTGAGATCTTGAAAGACTAAGGATGAGGTAGTTAATTAACTTCATTAATTAAAATTTTTTTTGTCACTTATGCCATTTAATTCTATATTTTTAATGTTACGTTTATGTAAACACTTTCGTTAATATTTAATTTACACTTAGCCTAAAATGCCATGTTATGCCAACGTTCTATTAAATTGAATAAAAAAGTTTAGTGATGACCACTAAAATAAAATTCAACTATTGTTTCAATTAATGAATTTTTGTTAGTTGAATCTATATAATCCTAACATTTTAATAAATTTTTAACAAGTCCACTGTATCCATCTCATCACTGTACTTCCAGAAGTTTATATTGAATTTTTTAACTTTAGATTTGGTGTCTAACAAACCCTTATCATTAAGTCCAAGAATAAATGCTTGTACTACCACCAAATACTCCTGCCCAAACTTAATCTATGATATAAAAAGAATTTTTTTCAAGAAAGAGAAAAAAATTTACACAAACTTTTTATGCGCATAATCCTTCGCTTCTAAAAATTTAGGTGAGGCAAGTTAGAGAATACTGTATACTTTTTAAATTACAATAAAGTAACAAGAGACTGTCTTTGCTTCGATACCCATTACATACAAATATAATATTCAAAGAATGTAGCTGGTCCTGTGAGTTTTTAAGTGTTTAACTTTTAAATTTGAGATATCTTCACATTTAAAGGAAAAAAAAAAGAAAAGAAAAAACCTTTAAATTTGAGAAAGGATTAAAAGGAGGAAGGAAGGTATCTTTGTAAATGGGCCGAGACGAGGTCCGGATTCGTATACTTTTGGGCCAACAAATGAGCCCAATAGGTAAAGAGGTCGCTCTAGCCCGCGTGTAGAATCGTAATTTGAAGGGTAAAAGGCGAGAGAGGGTTTAAAGCGCGTGAAATCTAAATTTACGCGTAAAACGATGATTTGTTGGTTGTAATTAAGAAAGTAAATTGGAAGAAAAAAGGGAGGGGATTCTTTTTGCCTTTAATAATGGAATAGACTTTGGAAACTCATTTTTTCCTAAACGGACTAACGAGGCCTCCGCATAGTCGATCCCCGAACACATCCACAATATGAATAGGTCACGACGACCCCCGCGCACGTTAGTAATTCCCCCTTCCCTTCTCGCCCCTTCTTCTTCCCCTCTCTATTTTATCTTTCCTGCCCCTGCGGAACCCCCTTTTTTCCGTTCGCCATCGCAATCCATCTGCAGATCTCCCGATTCCCCGCTCCTGCGCGCTGATTTCCATTCCTTTTTCCTCAATTTCGCCAAGGATCTGTTCCGATTCTAGATTCGATTCGTTTTCAGGTATTTTTTTATTATGTCGATCTCGTTTATATTGCGCGATTCTTCGATTTTCGATGTGTGTTCTCTCTTTTTTTTTTCGCGGTTTGTTCGATATTTGTTGGTTAGGGATTGCAGATCTGCAATTTTTCGATCTCGATTATGGCTTCTTGATTATTAGGTTGGGTTTAGGTTTTGATTGATTTTAATCGGTTCTTTCGTTTTTAATGGGTTCTCCGTACTCGCACCGTCGATCTGGTGGTTGTCTTGGAACTGCCTTTTTACGAAATCGAGGTCGATTGTTCCGATTCAATTGAATTGGGGACTTTTCAAGTTCAGTTTTTGATTTTTGGTTTTGGTTTGATAAATTAGGTTTAGGGTTTTTTTTAATGTCTGAGTGAGGAAACCATATTTCATCAAGCAATCAGGTAGTTTTGATCGAATAATTAGGGGAATTATTGATGAAATCATGTTACTTCTTGTAATCTAAAATAACTTCGATTTGTGAATGGAGTTTTTAAATTATAAACTACCCTAATTTTTGGTGCGTGAGAAATTCCTCCATTCAAGTTCAGAAACTTTGTATTTCATTCCCATAAAATATCATTTCGTTGTTATTTTACAATGAACTTTGTAATCCACATATTTATTTATTCAGTGTTGGCAATTATATTCCCTGGTCTTACCCATTGTTACGAGTTTTCATTTTGCTTTCTGGTATCCTGCATTTTAGTAGATGATTTTATGAAGTTCTCATGCTCAAGTTTAGAAACATGTGATGCTATCTCAAATAATGTAAAAGAAGAGCTACATGTTTCTTTCCTTCTGGATATTTTTTTTTTGAAGTTTTCAACCATTAATCATACAGTGTGGCACAGATGGAACATCCAATTGAAGACTATGATGAATATGATGAATACGAAGAATATGAAGGTGATGATCAAATGTATGAAGAAGAAGAGGAGGAATATGAAGAGGTAGAAGACCGTAAGCCTACCAAGGAAGAATTAGAATACCTTGAACTAAGGCAACGATTGAAAGAGCAAATTAGAAAGCAGTCAAAAAAAGATGGCAGTAAAAAAGATGGCGGTTCTCACATGAACTCCAGAGATAAGAAGCTTCCCTATGATAAGTAAGTTACAGCCTGAAGCCTGAGCTTGACATGATAGAACTTCTGTCTTAACATGTTTGTGCATTTCTTTTACATAAACATTTCACATTGGTGGATTATAGTGCTGAAGTTAGTTTAGAGTCAGAATGTTTGTCATGACTCATATTACATGATAAGGGCCACAGAGCCAAGTGGACCAGTATAATTTACGTTTCAATGGATGTGCACGTTTATCTATGAAATATAGGTATCTATTTTCTTTTTTGTGGGTATACCATGTTCTTTTTAATGATAGAAATCAAATACTATCTTCTTGGGAAATCTTTAAAAACATTTTTTTTGTATTCTTCTATTTCCAAATTAGCTGTGCCAGCAGTTGGTTGGTGTTGCAGCTAAAAGATTGTGCTTGTCTGTAATTTCCCACCATACACCTTTATAACATCTCAATTAGGATGCCAATGTTTGAAATTTTTGTTAATCTCTGCAGTTTTGGTTCATTCTTTGGTCCTTCCCAACCTGTCATTTCTCAAAGAGTAATTCAAGAAAGCAAGTCATTATTAGAAAACCAGCACTTGGCATCTAGGGTTTCCCACCATCATGATGTAAGTATCATTATTGTCATTTTGTGGTTGGTTCCAATTTTGTGTAGTGTTATATGTTTAAAAACTAACAAGAGAGAAGGTTTTTATTTTTTTATTATTTATCAGAATTCAATTGTCTATAGACCATGTTTTCATTCTCTATTGCTCAGGCTCTCAGCTACCTTGTACATGCTCATCATGTATTTTACTTTGGGTTTAATAAATTGACAGTATACCCACATGGGTACATGAAAAGAATAATTTTGCAAAGAATTGATTTAAATTCTGTTAATTCCAAGTTGGCCTGTGAAAAATTATTAGAAAATTTATCTGTTAGTGATATTCAACTTGCCGTTTCATCACATATAGAGTTAAATGTTCAATCAATTGTCAGAATCAAATGCAGGAAAAGAGATTTTGCAATCTTTTGCATGTACAATTTTCTATTTTGAGTGCATTTATTAATGTTCTTCGAAGAATATGAAACCTGATGAGTATGCTTGTGTTGGCAGAATAAAAAGAGTCACGGTCCAAATAGTGCAGCTCCCAAACCTAGGGTTCCACCCAAAATCATAAATGAGGTACTTCGGAATTTTTCCTTTTTACATTACTCCCCTCCTTCCCTTGTTGGATTTGATGGATATAATGAGTTATTATGCAGAAGAAGACGAAAGTTCAAAAGCTTAAGGACACCAGAGACTACTCCTTTCTATTTTCCGAGGATGGACATGTTCCTGCTCCTACAAAAGAGTCCTCATCTCATAGTGTTTCGGTTCCAAGTACTGGTATGTTGCTGTTGAATCATAACAATTGTAGCTGTCTTGTTTTAACTAAGAAACCTTATTTTTTTTAAAAAAATATAATCTATATAGAAAGAGAGAACTTACTTTTGTTTCTTTGATCCTGTTCTAGAGGCACGTTCAGCTCATGCTCTCATGAAAAATAAGCAGCCTCCGAGTAATTCTCGTCAGAATATTCATGTGGGTCATAAAGACAAAAAGTCTGTTTCCATCAATGGCGGCCAAATGCAGTCTAGAAACAAGCCAGCATCCTCTGGCAACCTCAATTCGTCAGTAATGAAGGCTAAGACACAATTGGGTAATAGGCACAACGGGAATGGTCCTGGCCGGCCAGTGAGTAATAGCCACAACGGGAATGGTCCTGGCCGGCCAGTGAGTAATAGCCACAACGGGAACGGTCCTGGCCGGCCATTGAGTAATAGCCACAACGGAAACGGTCCTGGCCGGCCAGTGAGTAACAGCAACAATGGGAATGGTCCTGGCCCGAAAGCCCCATCTGCTCTCGTGCAGAGGAAGACTTCTCTACCAGGTACAAAGAGTTCCGTACCTGTTGTTCACAAGCCATTACCATCAAAAGCACTTCCAGATAAGAGGAATGAAATTCGAGAACCTGCTAAGGCTAAAGTAACACCGAATCGTCTCATGTCATCGTCAAGACCCCAGGTTTTATTCCCTCTCAATGATAACCTCAGTTCAATCTGTATAGAAGTAATTTCCTTACTCCTTAGCTCGTTCTGGATGTACAACTTTTAATTGTGTCATGAAACTAACAGATGAGCAAGCCAGCACCACAAAGACAAGTTTCATCTCGTCCAGCTTTGAATGTTCAACGGCCGAAGAAAAGGCCTGCAAGGCCTTACTCTGATGATGAGGATGATGAGGAGGGCGGAAAAGCTATTAGTCTTATCAGAAAAATGTTCAGGTAAAGATTTTTTTGTTATTCTTTGATTATCATTCATTTTTATAAGTTAATTTCAGAGGAGAGAGAAGTCCCGTTACACCGTGCTCTTATTGGATGCATTTTTTGTGTTGTCATATGAACGTGCAAATTCAAGCCTATTGAGCTCTTATGGTTACTCCATTTTTTATCATGTAAAAAGCGACGGTTTCTTGTCTCTTGAAGATACACATCTACTGTTTTGGAATATTCTGATATCCTTTTATTCTGACACCGGGTTTCTGCCTTCTCTGCAGATACAATCCGAACAAGTTTTCCCGAGATGATGACGACAGTGATATGGAGGCCAATTTCGAAGATATAATGATGGAGGAAAAAAGAAGGTAAAGCTATAATATTTATTCGATTCATGTAATTCAGATTTAACTTTTTCTTGCAGTTCTATTTATATATTTTTTTACTGTCCCGTACCATACAGTGCAAGAATAGCAAGGAAGGAGGATGAAGAGCAACTTCGTTTGATCCAAGAAGAAGAAGAACGGGAGAGGCGTGCGAGAATTAAAAGGCTTAAAAGAGCGAAAGGGCAATAGTTAGTGATTTTTTTTTTTTAATGGGTAGATTTAATATTTGTTAATTTGATGAGAGATCATCGAAGAAGAGCCCGCCCCCAGCCCCCGCCCCCCCTTCACTTGAAATCAGTTTGGTTGTATCTTCAATTTCTTTAGTGCTAGAAGCTCCTGCTTAAATTACGGGGATTTAGTTTTTGTAGATTTCCAAAATTAAAATTTAACTTCGCCATTGAAGTCACCACCCTCACCTTGTATTTACCGAAAACCTCTGTTGCACCACAGTTTGTTTGTTTTTTTGTTTTTTGTTTTTCTTAAATCTTCTTTTCTTCTTGGAAATATTGTAAAAGATGAATAAAATTTGTGGTGATGATTTTGATACATTGGAAGGAGGGATTTGAAGTTTGAACTCGTGGTGGGGGGGAGAGATTGATGCTGAGTTGCGAACCGCTGAGCACCAATCTAAAACTATGAACAAAATGTTACTCCTGTCGGCATCATCATTATTCTAAATATTATTTTGATTTTAACACGTGGCGATGCTCAAATGGTTATGTCCGGAGATTTTTGTTTACTATAGTTTGTTTAGTCCTGTTAATTTATAATAATCATATGTTCAATTTTCTTTTTCTTAAATATGTTCACTTATTTTGAATTTGTCTTTATTTTCTTCTTATAGTATTAGATGATATAGATAATCTTTGGTTACAAAGATGGATTTTGTTGGATGTTATATAAAATAATGAATATTGTTCAATGTTCTTTTATGATCATTTTGTGATTTAATTCTATTACAAGTTAGATATTTTATATTTAATTGTTTAGAAAAACTTATTAGAGAATAATGTAATTACAAAATATTGAGTTTTAACCACTCTTGCTTTTTAGATTATGGAAAGTATTTTTCACCAAAGAGATATAATCAGAGAGAATATATATTGTTAGCATTGCTCTAACAATTTTTCAAAAGAAAAAAAAATGGTATTTATCTGACTTTTAATGGCCACGTTATTGCCATCATCATAAGAGGATCCATATACAAAATCTACCGATGACTACTCATGTCTGGCCGATAGTACTTCTGCTGAGATCTTGAAATTTTTTTGAGTACAACATGTCGAAAGTGAGATTGGAACATATACCTACTCTGTCTCTTCAACCGTGACATATTATTAAGTAATATATTAATTTTTTAATGGAAAATTTCCCCAATGCCACCCTAGTATCAGAAATGGACACTGGAGAGGTGCCCAGATATTGGTCCACGTTGCCTGGCTGCTGTGACAGAGAGAAAACACAGAGAAAAATAAGTATCCATATTTTAACAGAGCACCGTTAAAATATTTGATTGAAGTTTTCTGCAGTATCCGATAAGAGCTGTCAAATTTGTAGGCGAAGAAATATTTTTTAAAGAATCACGTTCCAACTTCCATCCTCTTCTGTTTGGTTCTCTTTTAATTTCTCATCCTCATTTCCCGGAACAGGCCTCCGTGATCATTCCCTTACGCCGGAGAGCTCAAAGCGAGCTTGTGAGGCCGGCAAAAATGGTTGTCCATGCACTTACGACGACTGCTTTCTCTTCCCGTCTTGGTCTTGCCTTTCCGAAATATAGTACTGCCTGCTCGAAATCTGCTCGAACTCTCTGTTGCTCGAGGTGAATTTTCTATCGCGGTTTCCAATTCTGTTTTGCTCATTCCTTGGTTTTAGTATATATCGTGGAACTATTGTAATCCTGCTGAATTGCTTGTGATTCTTATGCCTGCTACGCTGTTATAATGTAACTTCTCCTGTTCAGTTTTTTGAGTTGGAGGTTGACATCGATGGTGTATTCAATTCAAGAGAAAAGAGAAAGACTCCGAGTATCGGTTTGTCGAATCGAACAATTCAATGTAGTCAGTTTTGGAAAACTCATTCTCGAAATAGAGCGTTAAAGCCACACGATGTCTGCTTATGCCTTTCTTCTTCCTTTTCCAGTTAAAATTTTACATGTAAGAGAAAATTTGAGCTTAGGGTGGTGACAATGACAATTATCATTGTTTGACATTTCCTTTACTCCCAGTCTGACAACAATTTAATTTTCCCCTTTTATCAACTATATAGTGTTGATTATCTTTGTTTGACAATGCTTTTACTCTCAGTCTGACAATAATTTAATTTCCCCCTTCTATTAACCATATAGTGTTGGGCTGCTTTACTAATTAGGCTCTCAACCTGTTTCAGAGGAGATGGAGAACTTAATGGCTTGATTAACATCTCATCGCAATTGGAGTAACGTTTCTTAAAACATTTTTGGCTTTCCTTTGGCCTTGGCACTTATCTCTAGGGACTTTCGTATTTCAGTATATTTATCTTCACTGAAGCTTGAGTGACTGAGTCTATGTAATCTAAACTTTAGGTGGGAAGGACATGATGGTGCGCAGATGGCAAAGGTAAGTCCTCATTGCTAATTTTCTTTACTTCCCAATATAGTGAATGTGATAGCTCTTACTGTTATTCTGTTTTGCTCGTTAGTCGTCAGCTGGTGAATGCAGCATTCAGTCGTCAGATGGTGATTTACAGGCAAAAAACAGTGAAATTTGGCAACTCTTCAGAGAAGCTCAGCAGAGTATCATGTTTTTAGATTTGTAGCTTCAAATCTGGCATTTCATGTACTTTTATGAATTCCATTCAACCTTTTGTTGTTTGTATTCTCATATGGACCGTGTTACTCAGATATCTTGTACTTGAATAAACAACGTGTCCTTGCTATAGAGGAGTTGAACAAAGCAATTGGTGAGAAAGACTTACTGCTTGAAAGGATCGAGGAATTAGAGTTTGAAAAGCAGGCTATGGGTAGAAAAGGTGATAAATAGTCCCAACTCAATCTAACTGTTACTGACTCAGACTGGCTGATGCAATTAATCCTCAATATTACTTCGAAGTGCTGATTTTCACGCGCCTTTTTTTTTCCTTATTCGTCATGTGATGTGATCCTTACTTTCTTGTGAATTACCAATTTCTTTTCCTCTGTCCCTCTTCCTGTTATTTTATACTTCTGGAGTTTGTCATTTAATCAGATAAAATAGTAAAAAACTTTAGGGTAACTGGTATTTGGAAGACTGAAGTCGTAATACGTTTCATGGGGGTTGTTGTTCAAACCAGATCAGGTGTCATCATGTTGGGATTTGCTACTTCGGATTGATTCCATGGTTCTAACTGGCATGATTAGCTCTGAAGAGGCATCTAAAATGAGACGGCTGGTAATGGATCATAAAGGTAGCATAGTTTATGCTTTTACTGATATCCTGCAGGCAAGCGATGCTGAGTTACTAGCAGAGCTACGTCAGTTTTCTCACAGAAGCAATAAGTAAATTTGTCTACTTGAGTTTGCCATTAATTTTTTAATTGCCTTTTTCTTCTCGCCGTCTAAAGATTATGCTTTGAACTGTGAAACTGCATCGAGACTCCTAACATCTAAATATGTAAAAGATATATTTTGTCTTTCTGCTTGCCCGCTGCAGAACATGTATAAAAATTTTTCCTATTGTTACTGGTTCAATAAATCTAAGCTGGTTAACTTTCTTCATGAATATGAACATCGTATCAAAATTTTTCCTTACAGCTTGGAGTAAACCTTTATAGGTTAATCAGTAATCTTTATTGCACATATGATGTTAAGTTTGTAGCTTTGATCTATAAAATATTTAGCGGTTGCTAAATATTCATTTGAAAACACAATTGATCAGAAATATTTCAAAGTCATAGATTTTCTTACAACAACCTTGATATATTGATTACTTATTCCCTGAAAGCTATATAACATGTATGGAAGATAATTTGAAAAAGAGATTCTTGATTGCAATTGAAGTGTTGTATAACTAACACTCAGACATTCATAGTTTCGTTAATCTTCCATGCATTCCACGTTCCGACCCCATTCCAAGTTAAATTTATTATTGATATTCTGTTCAATTCAGGAATGGTTTTCACATTGTTCACATTTGTACCGAAATGGCTCCAATTGCCTCTTTTGGAGCAGTGGCGTCATTTGTAACGGGGTTATCTCAAGCTCTACAAATAAAGGGCAACTGGGTGGAGGTTATCTTGCCAAAGTAAAGGTCTCCCTTTTGTTAATTGGTTTCTTCAGTTCTTGTCATTGGATGCATGATTACTGCAAACCATATTGCTGCCATGCCGATGTAGGATTTTATTTTCTATCTGTAAGGAACCGAGGCAAAGAGGAAACAATTATATGCATTTCATATAGTCTGGATCTGGTCGTTGATTTTCCTTATTGTCTGTTGTTAACCAACACCATTTGGCAGCTGCCAACCCCTTACATTTAAATGACTGCTTTTATGCTCTTCAGTACTTCAGTGTACAATACTATTCATATTGATATGGTGCATGCTTCACCAATTGCATGAATCTTGAAGTGCCTTGATTTTCTCTATGCTTGCCATCAACCATTTTAAGCTGTTTGTCCTCCAGAATTCGGTAAATGCCATATTAACTTGTAGGTAAGATGGGAACGTCAAATTTTAATGCCATAAACCATCATCTTATTGGAAAGTAAATGTTTGGTTGTTCCAAAAAAACTTTGTTGAATTCTCTCCTGCTAGCTTTTATCTTCTGCCCAGTTGGACTTGTATGACGTGTGATAAGGCCATGTATTTCATGATTATAAACTGTTGGTGGATGGGAGCTCTGATTGACGTGAACATTCTAAAGTAAGAAAGTTTCGGTTCTTGAATGGCAACATTTTATGGCTGCCTGGAACTATTGCAAACTTTAAATAATTTAAGATATGGTTACAAACAAGCGTGTAGGAGAAGCATAATGATACAAATTGGACTACAGCTGGATATTTGCTTATTGTCCAATTGCACAATTTTTCTGAATTATTGTCTTTAGAAGAGAAATAAAATTGTGTTTTCCTAATTTCAAGAGCATCACTAAATTCTAAATATCTTTACTCTTTTATTTCTTATTTAAAGATGGATTGCAAAATTTAAGTCGCACGTGTTGCCTTTAAGGTGTGGAAGCATGGAACTAAATGAAGTTCAAGGGCTACGAGAGATTGAGGTGGAGTACTATTCGTATTTTAATGGTCAACTGCATGGAAACAAAATATGGACTGGGTGAGTCTGAATTTTATAATTGAAATTAAAAAAAAAATACTTGAAATGTAAAATTAGCAAGGGAATTGGAAACTATACTTTTTGCTGTTTATTACGTGGAATTCTTGGATATTATTCTTGTGTCTCACGTCCTTGTACAGGGTTGTCCGTGGCATAGGGGTTACTTTCATTCAACCTTTGTATTACTCATCATTTTTTAACCGTGAGAAGGCATATGGATACTCTGACGACTTTGAACGGTAAGTAAACAAACCTAATTGTCACTCATCTACATACTTGTATATTTTTTTTTGCAGGATGGCTGAGGCTGCTTGTGTCTACCAAAACACGACATTCTTACTGAATTTGAGCATTACCTCAAGGACGGACTCTGCTTATGCTTATTGAATGCCTATAGATATTCATAGGCATACATTCAATTGTGCCAGGAAGCTTAGAATATAAAAATTAACGATGTTCCCTCCTACCTTGTTGACATCCCAATTTGAAAAGTCTATTTCATGCCCTAAAAATGATTGAACAATATTAAGATTGTCAGTTATGGATAATTGAATGATCTCTTACCAAACTTAAGATATCTAACTTGTCCAGGATTCAGATTCCGTATCACAATGGTCATTGACCATCCAACAAGGTAATCTGGGTGGTTGCAAAATTCTGTTTCTAATGATTACCTACCATCCATGGATTTTGTAGACTATAACTTGAGATAAATGTCAAAATATTCTAGTCTAAAATCTTATTATTAATCATATAAATGAGGAGCACATTTTTTTTTTAAATAAAGAAATATGTAGGTTTCTTTATCTCATCTTTTTACTTATTATCATGCTTTCAGGTTTATGTACTTCTCTCGAGCATCATTGGATTATATTGTGAAATCTGGCAAGAAGCCTGATGTGTTACACATACACGATTGGCAGACTGCTATAATAGGACCGCTTTTCTGGGACATTTTTGTACAACAGGTGCACGTGCAACTTGCAATTACCATCTCTTGTTCCTGCTTTTCTTTCTCTCAATATTTCTTTTAGGTTTAAGATTATAGTTCAAATTGATTTAAGTGAAGAACTCTTGTTTCCGTACTAGTACCTTTCTGAATCTCTGACATTATATAATCTATGTTAGAAATTAATTTGCCTTCCACCAAGGATAGATAGTATATAATTTTTTACTGTATAAATGTTAGTTGGCCTGAAATTTCATGTAACTTGAAATGATAGTAAGGAAAGTATGGAAACAGAGCAAAGGTTTTCGAGAATGAAAATACATAAATGGTGATTTAAAACATTGAGCTATCCTAAGGTCAAGATAGATGATCTTTTGAGCTCCATGACTTCGGATTTTCTGGAAATTGCACTTCTTAGTTCATACAGGAGTGTTTTGACGGTCGGCTGAATACTTATCTAAACCTTTATCCACCTGCTGTTCATGTTTTCCTTTGAACTATTTTGGCCAATAAAAAGTCTTCTATGGAACTTTTTGTTGCTGTAGTGGATTTTCTTAGAAATCCCAGGGCCAGGGTAGAACTGTTTAACCGAGAAGAAAACTTAACCCAACTGCCAACCAGTTCACTAGTTTGTTATTTTCCATGGATTTATTCTCAATTTATGGATATTGTTGGAGCATTCATCTTTTAATTTGAAGGAGCCTGCAATGGAGTTTTTGCCTGGATGGTTTCTCTTTTCGTCACTTTTTCTTTTGGATGAAATGCTTGAAGTATTATTTTCCTTTGAATTAAACATGTAAGATGGTTTTTCTTTTATCTTCTTGTTAAACATTGATTTCCATTATTATACACAACTGAACTTTGTGGTTCGTTTACCTGGCAATTATTAAGATAAAAAGTACTTAATAGCTTAATAATCTATACATACTTCATAAGGTAGTAGAGGTATGCAGCTTCTGCTAATTTTTAGGAATTGTCTTTTTTCTTATATGGATGTCTTTTACCTGTCTTTATAGGGACTTGAAGGTTCTAGAATTTTATTCACATGTCATGACATCCATGCACAGGTAAGTTAGAAATTATCACTGTTTCTTAATGTGTTCTCCAAGACGTAATACGAATGTGGAGATTATCTAATGTGGTCTTACTTGAAAAATATCCTAGTCTCTTGTACAACCAGAGAAACTAGCACTATGTGGACTTGATCCTGCAAGTCTTCATCGTCCTGATCGTCTGCAAGACAATTCCAATACGCATCTTGCAAACATACTAAAGGTATATAATATAGAATATGTGCACTTTCTTTGCAAAGGCCAATCTTATATTATTAGGTGAAAACTTTCAAGTTCACCATATTCTTGCTCTTCTGTCTTTGTCAACAAGTCTAGCTTTTCCTATCAGAGGAAAATATAAACAGGTGGTCTATGTATTGAGTTCTTGAAGGATTATACTTTGACCTCATTGGTGTTGAGAATAGAGCACCATTATGTAGGCATGTCAATCCACAACCCAGATCCAACATAATGACAGTTTTTTTGGCATTGAAAAATTCAGTATTCTTGCATGATTTAGAATATCAAATTTTAGGATCAATCATAGTTATTTTATAGAAATTCATAATGTTACTTAATTGAGGGAGGTTGAATTCCAGCAGCTTATTAAATGTGATTGAAAGACACTCCATAAATTTGATATTAAATGAACCACCACAAGCTATTTCAAGTTTTCTACGCTTTAATCTTTAATTTTTTTTTTGGGTTAAAGTACAAGCTTGGTACCTGAAGTTTAGGAAAGTTGTTAATATGTCTTTGACCTCTTAAATTTGTCTAATGAGGGCATGTCAGTAATTCCATTGATTTAGTGCTCTCGTTCCACGTTGAATATACTGTCTATGGATGATGCGATGAGATAATTTTGGGCAAGTTCAAGTGGACCTATCTGACAAAATTTAGTTGAGAGATTTATTAGAAACTTTTTTTTAGTAGAAGGACTAGATAGACACAACTTAAAAGATCTAGGGCATTTGAAACTTTTTAAGTATAGGGACTATATTCTACAACAATCCACTAGCGGCACAAATACTCTACGATGGACGGTAACGGCTGGCATTGGCGACGACATCGTGATATGGCGCGTTGGCAGGCAACAACTGCTGGAACTAGGGTTAGGGTTAGGATTTAGCACGATGAAGGGATGCTTGCCGGAATTGGGTTGCACCGTTTCAAACAACAGCTAATAACAAAGTAGGTTGCATCGTTTCAATTTCTGCTACAGCAACTAGGATTCCGTCAGAGGCCAGGGCTTTTTAGGTTAGGTAGGTTTTTTAGAAGAAGCTAGGTTTTCATGGTCTGATACCAACTGGATTTAGATGGAATAAAATATTTTTAATTAAACTATGAAAAGTAAGAAATACATAACCTTCTTATATAGGATAGGAAAAATGTTCAATACAGAAAAAGAAATGAGAACAAGAATATAAATAAATTTAACCATTAATTGCATACAGTAAATTTAAATATGTATGGCTAATATTAAAAAATAATAAACCAACGGAACCTAGTCTAAAAGTTTAGAGACCAAACCTATAATTTAAACCCCCTTTTGTAAAATCTTTGATTTGTATCCTAGCCCCTAGGTCTCTGCTGCATGTTCAAGCTTCTCATCAATATTTGCTATCATGTAACATATTGCCTATGATTTTGCAGGGTGGAATTGTTTACTCCAATAAAGTTGTAATAATGTCATCCACAAATTCAAAAGGCCGTATAATTCATAGTTTGAGTCATGGTTTGGAAACTACCTTAGACATGCACAAGTAAGTAGTTGTCTTTTGCAACTTCTGAAACTGGATTGGTAGATTCTCTTGGATAATGTTTTGTACTAATTTTTCCTTCTTCTAATTGATCAAAACTTCATAAAAGATTTTATAATAGACGACTGATATTGAAACTACGCATTGCCACAAAAAATGAAAAGGGAAGGAGATGGACAATTCGAGAGGTCTATTCTCTCCCAAAACTACCTCCAACATACTTACATCAGCATGCATGCATGCATGCATACATACATATATATATATACCCGAGGGTCCCCCACTACCCTTTGTACAAATATTCCCCTCCCTTCTGCTAACTAATCTACTTTGCGCCTTACCTGTCCCCACCTCTCTTTCTACTTGCATAAGTAAACTTAATTTGTAGTTTATGATTCTATCATTTTGAAGCTAAACTGTGGTAAAAATACTAGGCTCAGATATTTGATAGATGAAAAATAGGGACATGGGGGGAGAACAGTAGGGAAAAGGGAGGGAGAGGCATAAGAGTACTAGGCAGTAATCAATACTCAAATACCCGAATAATTGAACCTAGATAGCTGTTTACGCAAACATATATTTATTGGTAGAAAAAGCTTAATTAAATAGCAAAAATTCATTACTTGTATAAAAAAAAATGGAACACAGTGCTCCTTCCATGGCTTTAGGCAAGGCAACATCTGTCCGTCTTCTCTCTCTCACATACACACACACGCAAGATTCTTTTCTGTTATATGTAGTATCTTTGTTTGTGTTATATACAGTACCTTATTTTCTCCTACAAATCTTAAGAATTCTATTTGATACTTTCTACTGATTCTTCAGTCACTAGGTCAAAGTGCACTGATTACTCCTGCAAATAGAAAGTTATGCAGGATGATTTTTTTTTATAATTTTATTATCTGCTTGTTGCTTATTGCCTTATTGCAGGGACAAAATGCTTATTGCTCCGTGTGGGTTTGAGAGCTCGTCTTGGGATCCTGAAAAAGATAAAAGTCTTCCAAAAAATTATAGTGCAGATGATATGAAAGGAAAAGCTGTATGCAAAATTGCATTGCAGAAAAAAGTGGGATTAGTTGAGGATTCTTCTATTATTACGGTAAGTTCTCTACTATAGTCCTAGTCCAGCTAGCCGCTGGAACGTTCTCTAGATCTTTAGGTCTCTAAGTCATAATGTTGTATTGCTTTCTGATACTAAAATGTGATTCAGGCTCATAGAAGAAAATTAATGGTAACTTGAAAAACTTTTTTGTTCCAAATTTCAAGTCACATCTTATATGAGATTTTGTTTATGCATTGCAAATGTAACCATTTTGACAAATTTTCTTATGTAGTGTAAACTACTCTCCTTGCCTGAACTTTCCTATGATAACCGATTAGTTAAATAAATCTCTACTTGAAGTAACCATCCATAAGGATCACTCCTGTGAAAAAAGGCACCTTCAATTGTTGTACGTCAAACTCTAGGACTCTTCCAGCTACGTACACAGCAGGAGAATCTAGTGTACTCTAGGACTCTTCCCTTGGTTGCCTTTCCTCCATCTTTTGTCATTTTGTTGGTATAGTAAGAGGGACAGCTCTACTTGTCTGGACATTATTGTTTCATCAAGACTTCCGCACTACAACCCAATGTTGTCATCAGTTCATCCTAAACGGGCCATATTTCCTGCATTGCAATCGAAATCCTGTCGAAGGTTTCTCGAGTACATTCAATCATGAATCAATTTTACATACTGCTACTATTTCATAACAAAATTCCAAAATGGTACCATTGTGATAAAACTCAATGCTTATATTCGTTTAATGCTTAAAAGAATGCATGGTAAAGAAGGATTTTGAGAGCCTTCCTTTCTATTCCTCCGACAAAATTGGCTTCCTAAAAATAAAATTGGATATCCTACTGGTAAATTCAAAAAAGGATGTTGGTTTTTGATAATTTTAATGCTCGTGCCATGGACACCACYTTACTAACTAATTCCCCAGTCACTTGACAGGCTCCACAATAAACTTCATCTCTTCTGCCCACACCTTTCTTCTCCTTCCTTGCATGTGGCAAAGTTGCAAACCGTATGCGTTTTTATCGGCATTCTTACATAACCATCCACATGCATCTATCTATGTTTGTAGTTCTTCATGTTATCATTTTCTCCTTCAAATTAAATTGCTGACCTAAGTTTAGGCGAGAAGTCAATGGCCTATTAGTGACCTGTAGGCAGCTTTTCCTTTCTTTTTACTTCACTACTTTTATTTTCATGCTGTATTGTTCCTTCTGCTCTTTGCTTGAATACTGCAGCTATAAGATGCTAGTACACTAAGTTTTGCATTATGTAATCCACTTCTCATTCCCCTAGGTTGGATGCTTTTTGTCAGATGTGTCAGTTGTTGACACTGAGAACCTGAGGGCAATTGTTCAGAATGGTACCACAATGGGTGTCCAGGTTGCGATCTCCTCCCTAAAAATTACATGCTGAATTCTACTAAAACCTTCTATTAGCTGATATGCTTGATTTTGAAGTTATACTGGAAATTTATGGTCTATAATCTTACATTTATAGTGGAAGAAATCAGTTGAATTGGTTGATATAAATTTTTTTTTTTATATATCTAGTTTTTTGCAAGCTCGTTATTTTCCCATACAACATTCATATCATGGGATGATGAGTGTTATATCCGGTTACTTATAGTTCGTCTTCATGAGGACTGGCAAAATGACAAGTAGACACAAGGAACTCGACTCTCTTCAAGAAAAAATTGAGGTATTTGCTTTTTGTTGTTTTCATCTAGTTTCCTTTCATGTCACAAATCAAGTCATCTATACTGCGGATTGCACAAATTAAGGCAAGCATAAGCAAAACTGAAACTATGATAATCTTATTGTTATCTGAGATGAAAAGTCCCCATTTATGATGTAGTGCATGATTCTGGTAATTGGTTATATTTTAGGTTCCTTATCGTTAAACTGACATGATCCCGAACAGTTCAACCAGATAAAATTTTTCTTGGCAACAATCTATCATTGCAGGACGAAAATGTGCGGTTCATAAACAGACATGATGAGACATTGTCACGTCTCATTTTTGGAGGTTCCGACATTATCTTGTGTCAGTCTCTTCACGATCCTATACTCCATGTGCCTGTAAGTAATCTACTCTTCGCTTCATCCAGGAGTGCTGATTATTTGCATACAGTCGAGTTGTAAGCTAAGTCTATTGTTTGATCATAAACTTTCAAGTTGAACTGTATTTCATCCATGAGGAAGAGTCTGTGAGGTGGTGTTGGTGTTTATATATATTTTCGACCTTAAGCCAGTTTTAAAGTTGATATTCTTCCCTACACATTTATAAACAACACACAACTCTGATAACTATTGCTGGATAATTAAATGATCTCTTCTGTAGATTAGATCTAGCTTGGATTCCCTTGTCAATCTAATCTATCCTGGACTGTTAAGTGATTATGTATTAACTTGGAGTTCAACACCATTTATTCAAGTTAATGCCCTGTCTAATCCATAAGGTGGCCAAATACTTAGAAACTTTATGTTTATTAATGAATCCTACTTCTATAATCAATGTGAGGCGTTAACATGTAGAGTGGTGATCCTCTGTTCGTTTAATTTTTGTTGTCATCCCAACCTCGACTGTTTTCTCTCAGACACGTCTATTGTATTGACTGTTCCACGATAATATTGTTGACATGAAATGGCAGTCCAAACCTATGAAGGAATCATTGATACAGCTATTTATTGTCTTTTTCCTTTGATAATGTAGTTGAAGGCTTTGAGATATGGAGCTGCTCCAATTGCATTCACCTCCAATGACAACGGATTCAGGTAACTGTTTAATAAATTGCAATATGGAAGTATGTGAGGGGTGACGTGCTATTTATCAGTTGTGACTTGTGATTAAAAAGAGAAATAATCAATAGAACTATTTATCTTCGATGGTGTCAGACACTTTCCAGATCATGACTACGAGACTACTAAATTAGCCATGTTCATTAACTCTACCTTCGGATACTTGTCTCTCAGCCAAGCCGYGGATGAAATTGTGAGTGTTAGATGATCAAAAAATACCTCTTTAGGCATTTAACATATTTTGTAGCTGCTATGCATTGCTAAGTAATACCTTATTTATCTCTATCGCTGGGACTATGTACAGAATAACAATACATCCGAGTGGAATCATAAAATGTTTGATGCTATGATGAAGGATTTCTCTTGGGATGCAGAGTGCTGTGATATTCATCTCTCTGCTTACGCAACTATTAAGAGCTTGTGAACCAGGTACAAAATAGAACCTACAAACATACATATCGACAGCATTCACATTTGTCACTGCACGCGACACAACTGCAGGTCTGTGGTGGAGCTTGATTCCAGTCTATAATCTCTAGATTTTAGGTTTGTAAATGATGAGGTAGATATTCCTTTTTCTTCAAATAGTATATTATATATGTATAAAAAAAATGGAGATGTGCTGAAAAGTTGAAGGTGCAATGAATTAGCGTAGACCAAGTGCCAACTTGATCATAGCTCAATTAGTTAAAACATATATTCTCGATCTTTTAGTCGGAGATTCAAATCCTTACTCATTCATATTGTTCAACTAAAAATAATAATAAATAATAACGTAGTGGAGGTTGTTTAAAGAAGTCTGTTTATATTAGAGGCGTGCTTAATTGAAGGAACACACTGAGCCAAGCTGTTCTGCTTGGATTTATATGAGGATTAATCTTTTTGGTTAGCGTTATTTATATAAATGTCTGACTCGGCTTGGTTCCTGGTCCAAAAAACATATCAATTATTTCCTCTGGTACAAATACACTCTACATGCAGACTATTTTTTTTCCCCCTCTCTCTTGAGCCATCTGCTTCTTTTTTCCCTCATATTTACCTCAAATCCCCCATCGCTTGAAGGTGGTTTGAGGCTTGCATGAGAAAATTTTACTCTGAGATAGATTGAAATTTGTTTGAAATTGATCTGAGTTCTAATATTTTGCAAGATGGACCATTACTCTTAGATCAAACTTCGAGGCCGATGAAAAAATTTGCTTAAAAGTATTTAAAATTGACCAAAATATGAAATCATTTACTTATCATGGTCATGCAATTGCAAGATAGACCAAGCTTCAAATTCAATCGAGACCGTCCACCACTGTCTTAGGCTACGCATGCTAAAATCGACGGCTTTCAAATTATTGAAACTTTATCATTGTTGTGATTTGAAAACTTTATTGTTGTTGAAAGAATAATTGTGTCAATTTATCTTTTTATTTCTTTACATATTTCTCTCTTATAATTTTCAAAATCATACAATAAAAGATACCTATTAACTAATAATTACTTAAATATTATTATTAAAGTTGATGATTCAATTACTCACCAGACACCAGATGAAAAACGAACGGAAGGCCATGTGTGAATAAAAAATAGTAACACATTGTGAACCACCAAGAACAAGATATTGGCTGACAGAAATTTTAGAAATACCTGACCTATACTGAAAATAATAATTGTTTTTGGCTGCCATATGACATTTTTTATTAGTCTTTTTTATAGAAACAAAAAGATAAAATAGATATTTATTCCAAATTTCAGAGATTAAAATTACTTGATTTAAAATTTAGACCCAATAGACACTTACTCTAAATCTCACCATAAAGAATATCTCCTCTTCTAAATAATTTGTATGTCCACACGTTCACATTTTAAAAATTCATCCGCTGTGGAGGAAAATAATAAATTAAAGTCACGTTCTTAGAAGTAGTAAAAAAAAAAAAAAGGATTATCTGTCGTCTGATAGTCTGTCCAACCATTTTGTCTTCAATTTTAAAATACTTTGAAGATGTGGTGTTATTATTTTATAAAAACCATTTTCTTTTGGCAGAAATTTCGGTGGTAAGGTAACTTCATTATTTAATATTATTATTATCAATTATCAATTTGATAATAATACTACAGTAATCGAAAAATATTTGTTGGCATTTAGCAAGCGATGTACCATGCGACGTACGTGGAGTTGTCCATAGCAATTTGGTCACACGTTCATCCCACCCTCCATGACCTGTCCTCTGGGCCCTACCCAGATACAGATTTCTTCGTCCTATTGTTTGCGTGGGATAAGGGATCCAACTCTGAAGATATATATCAATTACAGTTAAACTATGCTCGCTTTAGCTTCGATTAAATGTTAAATCATGAATTTGTTTGCTACTATGAATTGACAGTATGATTTTAATATGACTTTTACAATTTAAAAAGTATTTATTTAATTTTTATAATTTGAGTTCAATATTTATGGTTTAAAAATTTTCGATCCCACAGCGTGTTTAAACTCTAGCAATGGTTTTTGTAGTATTAAAAAAAAGAATAAAAGATTTATTTAGTTTTAGAGAAATTTTATTTATTTTCCTCAATTTTCTCTCCATACAATAAATTAAAAGTAGTTAATACAAATAGTTAACACAATAAAAAAACTAAAAGATACATGTTAATTACTATGCATAATAACAAATATATTATGTATTCAACGCAACTATAGGAATAAATTATTGGAAGATGCTTGAACAATATAACCGATAGTTTTACATTGTTTGAGGTATGAAAGGTAAATTTTGAATATGTATTTAGCGGTTATTACGAAGTATGAATATTTTCAATTTACATTATAGTCGTTTGGAGACAAAGACATTTTTGGGCAATATTTATTTATACTTAATTCTTATAGGTAGAAAATGAGACTCAATATTTTGACTGCTGACAATTTGAGATTAAGCGTAAAAATTGTAAAAATTGTAGAGACATTAATAAATTGAAAAATTTGAAACCTAAGGAGTTAAATTGAAAACTAGCCAAAACTAGAAGGATAACATTTGCAATTAAGAAAAACCAGGAAATTACCACAAAAAAAAAGAAAGAGATCACCAAAAAGTTTCTTGAAAATATATGTGACTGATAACTTTAGAAAAATTCAGGAGGGGTAGAAAAGGAAAAAAGAAAAGAAAAAACAAAAGAAAAGTAGAAACGAAAAGGCAACAGCGATCAGTATTGAATGTCTTAAAAAACAAAAAAATCAGTGTTTTCAAAAGGTCGTAATTATTACCCTTATCCTACGCAACCCAACCTGTTAGTTTCGTTACAATGGAAACCAATTTCAATCGCCGTCGGCCGTCCATTTCCAAATCCAACCAACGGTCTCGATCAATCCAGCAACCTGTTCGTCCGTTCCCATGGAATGGAAACCATTTCATTTGCCGTCCGTTTCGTACCAAACCAACGGTCTCGATCAATCCAGTGTTTCTCCTCCTCCTCCTCCTCCTCTGCTCCGCCGTTACCCGATTTAATGGCAGCCATTGCGTTTCTCTCTCCGCCATTACTTTGCATTGCCAGTGCCCTACGCCATTCAACAACCGCATAATTTTAGCATTCTTTTTTTCCCCTCTGGACCAGACTAGACCATCCGCATTCTCTTTCTCTCCGGGTTGACGCGTTTTGTTTTCTTCCACCGCTTCGATCATCACTGTTCAGCTTCTCGCCGTTTTCTCGAGGTTCGTTGTTTGGTCTTCTATTCTCTTGTCCTCACATGGCATTGGTTTCTGATAATGCGTGATGTGCGTATTGTTTGTCATTCTCGATTTTCTTTTCCAGGATGGTAGGAGATCTCTTGTCATTCGCATGTGGTTCCTAAACCCCATTAGGGCTAGCGAAATGACGAAAGAGATTGAGTTCTTTGCGGTTTTCTGCGATGCTTTTTCCTTGAGTTCGTTATAGGCTGTTTTGCTATGCGAGTTTGAAATGAAATGAGGAACGGTATGTTTCTGAGTGCAAATGCAAGGTGTAAAACTATCGAAGATCGTTCTCTAGGTATTTGGGTAACCTTGGGCCCAATGAGCTCCATCTGATTGTTTATTGAGTGTTCGGAAATCAATGTCTGACGAAAATGCCCAGCATCAGAGCACCCGGAGCAAAGAAATCCACTACTCTGACGGTTCGTCATCTCCCTTCGCCAGCAGCTTGATTTGGACTGCGTTATTTGCTTCATTACATCCTTGCTACATTTTGCTTCTTCAGGTTGCAGTGAAATGCCGTCCTCTAAGAGAGAGAGAGCGCGGTCGTGATATTGTTCGAGTGATCGAAAACAAGGTTAGCTCACCAGATTGCGGTTTGAAATTTTTACTTTGCTCTACATTTCGTCATTATTGCTAAAATTTGGGCATGCCTAAAATTTTAGGAGGTGCTTATACTGGATCCTGACCTATCGAAGGATTACCTCGACCGCATTCAGAATCGAACAAAGGAGAAAATATATCGTTTTGACCATGCATTTGGTCCAGATGGTACTAATCTGGTGTGTACAAGTTATCTCCAATCTCGAATTTTTTGTTCTCTGTGTCGGATTATCTGAAGAATAATTGAGATTGCACGTTGCTGAAACTTGACAATTGGATTGATGATTGCGCGGTGATAACAAAATTGGTTTAAAATATGCCAAATATTTTAAGTTCTTCTGCATAAATTTTTGGATCTTAGTAATTATCATTCAGGACTCTGGCATGTTGGTTAAACTAAATCTTTTTATTTAATCTAGCTGGACCAAATCGTTTATATTTACTTCCTCTCAATTCTCTCCGTTCCTGAGCTTCCATCAATGTAAAAGCTACATTACACGAACAGAAAAATGTCATGTTTTTTGAACGTTCCATTATTGATGAGTTTATTATACCGAAGACAAGGTGTCTTGCTTTTAAGAGTTTTTTATTTTTATTTTTAAGTACAAAATGTGGGGGTGGGGATCGAACTCACAACCTCTTTTTTTTTTTTTTACTAGTTCAAAATGTTGATGGAGGGATTTATTTGTTTCTCACAACCTTCGTTATTGACTTTCTATTGTATTATGATGTAGTGCCATTTTGCTTCTTATCACCTTGCAAGAATGAAATTTAAATACTGACTGGTGGTCGTCTGAGTTGCTTAATAGATATTTTATTCATTCATTGCTAAGACATGACAGTAGCTCATTTGCATCATCTGAAATACTTAATTAGTACGACTGTTTCATTGAAACGTGTTCTCTTTGCTGATATTTTTACTATATTCCTGATATTTTTCTAATCCCTGTATATTCAGGAAGTCTACACAAAAAGTATATCTTCCATAATACCTGGAGTTGTTCAAGGTCTAAACGTTACTGTTTTTGCCTATGGTTCAACTGGAAGGTACTAAAGAGGTGTTGTCTTGCACTAAAGCTGCCATATTTACCTTAGAGTTACACCTTTTGTGCTGTCTAAACCATGCAACTGGACCGGGTCCTTTTTTGTTCACCTCTATTTTGACTCAAGGTTGTAATAGACCAGCCTTCTAGTTTTCAGAGAGTTAGTATATAGATTCTTTGGGTCATTTTATAGACAACCAAGTATTCAATGATCATGACTGGAACACTCATCTGCAGTCCAGTTAATAAAGCATCGTGGCTAAATGCATATATGGCAAAATGTACAGTTTCAATTTGTAACATGTTCTCTGATCAGCTGATGTATTTTATTGTAGTTATTATTGCAGGTCGATATAATTTCTTTACACTATGCAACTAAAAAAATAAAAAGAATCTGACTCCTTTGTGAGTGGCATGGCATCTGTTTAAGAGATCAATACATCATTCAACTATTACAAACTTTCTAACGTTAATGTTTCGAGTGAGTTTATAGTTTAAACCTGAAAAGCCATGACGTTGGTAAATTTTTATTCAGTCTAGAGTAGATGGGAACCACAAGATATAGAATGGGAAGCCACTGAACTTTTCCTTTTGTTCTTGTATACCCCAATCTATATTAACCATTCTCCAATTTCGTTTTTAAATCTAACACGTCCTTCTCCATGCCAGTGGTAAAACATACACGATGGTTGGGACCAAAGATGATCCTGGACTCATGGTGCTCAGTTTGAATGCTGTGTTCGATCTTATAAAAAGAGACAAGCGGTCTGATGAATTTGAAGTTACTTGCTCCTATCTTGAAGTATATAATGAAGTATGCTTGCGCGGCCGTTGGTTTGGCAATCGTACGTATGGGTGACCTTTTGTTTAACAGAATTATTTATTTCATTTTTTAAAACTATTTTTCAGGTGATCTACGATTTACTTGAAAAATCATCTGGTCATTTAGAACTTAGAGAGGATCCGGAGCAAGGAATAACTGTTGCTGGGCTTAGGTGTATCAAGGTTCGTTCATTTTGTAATATTATGAGATCCTCAAAATCAGAATATAATGGTATATATTGATTTTCACTCATCAACGGAAAGTTTAAATTTGTTTCTGAAAAGAAAAAAAACATCGTGCCTGGAAATTCGGTACCTTTTCAACCTAATCAATATTGTGGTAGGAGTTGACACCACATGAAACCTTTGTAACTTCTTCTTAATAAGAATGGTTTGGCTTTTGAGCTCCAAACTTATAATCCAACTCGCACACAATCTTTAAGTTTATGCAGATTGTTGCGAAGTACATGGTGAAGTTTCTTTTTTAAATGAAAAGGCCATTATTTTGAGGCTAAAATGTAAGAGGAAACTAAATCGTCACTTTTTCTGCATTAGTTGGCCATTGCATACTAATAATTTATGGTTTGGTGCTGAAATAGTTTCAATATATTATTTTAGGTATCTCATAATTTTTTCTTTCAATTAAGGTTCGGTCAAATATTTCACGTTTTCTACGATCATTTCTATTTTAGGTATTTGGAGAATCCTCCTTAATAGATGAATTATGTCGATGACTACTGAATCAATGTTATTAGACGTTAATTCCAACTTTTTGGTATTTTCCCAACCTCATCTATAGAAAGTGCAGTTTTAAATGTTAATTTAACCTGCATTTTTGCCAAAAGGATTCGTAATTCTCTTGTCCTTTACCATTTTCTCTTTTCTCTATAAACAAAATGCCCTTTACGATTATTAATTTACTTCAGGTTCATTCTGCGGATAAAATTCTTGAACTTTTGAATATGGGTAATAGTCGCAGGAAAACAGATAGCACAGAGGTGAATACCACCTCCTCAAGGTATGTTATCCTATAGTTTCCATAGGCGAAGGGTTTTCATACGAGAATATCTCATATTTTCTTTGGGTTTTGTATATATTTCTTTTATGCTTGGCTGTTAAATTGGGTTAATGTTAAAGCCGTTATTATTATATTGGATGCCATTTAAAGTTGTCATCATTTGACGATTCATTTTCTTATATACCTCCCGCAAGGAAAAATAAGGTGAACGTTTGTTTACATTCTGAGTAGCTTATAAAGTTTGATCTTTAAGAAGCTAAACTCTATGCATTTAACAATACTACTACCCACAATAATGGCTCATGGTGTCTTGACTCTCCAGGTCGTTCAACATGTATAAGAGTACCTTGGGACATGAGAAACCAGACTTTTATGGATTAAAAATGAAGATTTGGGTTTTCCATTTATTACCGTCTGTTTTCTTCATTGATTAGAGGCCACCTTTAACATTTACTAACTAGTCACTAGTTGTCAAGTACTTTATTGGTTCATCAATTATATAATGCAGATTGTATGAATTTACAATAATTTGCATAACCATGGATCACTTGTTAGTTCCTCATATCAGTAACCATCAAGAACTAGGTACAATGAACATGTTCTAATTAGTTGTTATGTTACTCTATTGGCTCCTCTCAATGAGTGTTTTAACAATTTAGTTGCGTTTATGCAACAGAAGCTTTCTGCTCGATCTAATTTGAATGATAATCACATAAACAGATCACATGCAGTTTTGGAGATTAATGTGAAAAGAAAGCGAAGAAACAAATATCAAAGTCAGGTCTTGCATGGGAAACTTGCACTTGTTGATCTTGCTGGCAGTGAACGGGCTACTGAGACAAATAACTCTGGCCAAAAATTGAGGGATGGAGCCAACATTAATCGTTCACTCCTTGCTTTGGCAAACTGCATTAATGCGTTGGGAAAACAGCAAAAAAAGGGACTTGCTTATGTCCCTTACCGTAACAGGTATTTATGTCAGTGTCATTATAGTGTCAAACATCTTATCTGGAAAACTATAGCCTGAACCTTTATATCTGGTAATCATAGCTGTTTCTTGTCGTTTATCTATTTTTGCAGTAAATTGACACGAATTTTGAAAGATGGTTTAAGTGGTAATTCTCAAACTGTAATGATTGCTACAATATCACCGGCAGATATTCAGTATCATCACACTGTAAATACCTTGAAATATGCTGACCGAGCAAAGGAAATTAAGACACACGTTCAGGTCAGATTTTCAGTCCTGGTTGTGGGGAGGTTAAGTTTTATTTTTTTGTGTATAAATCAATTTTATATTCTATGTTAGTGCTATAACTTTTTCTCCTTTTTATTGAACTGCATTAGAAACATTTTTGTACTCTCTTATTGTTTTAAATCCAACCATATGTTTTTTACTTCGTTAGCTGTTTATTTATTACTTTTTATGTGATGCTCAATTTACAAGACCATTTATCTGTTGCTTTTTTATGGTAAAAGGTGACAATTGTCATTACTAAGATGTTAACGTTTTCTATTCCCAGAAAAACATTGGAGCAGTAGATCCCCATGTATCGGACTACCAACGGATGATTGATAGTCTTCAGGTTGTCTGTTAATTTTATTTTATTTTTCCAGATAGTACCCATGTATTGATCTCTAATATATTTGATGTGTTCAGACTGAGGTTAGCCAATTAAAAAAGGAACTTGCTGAAAAGGAATTCCAGCTTAGTAGCAAACCTGCTGAAAAGGCTAGCAAACCTGCTGAGGCTTGCAAACCTGCTGAAAAGGCTGCAGACGATGAGCTGTCTTGGTTGAATATCTTAAGTCATGAAATAAGCGAGAATGTACAGGAAAGAATAAACTTACAAAAGGCTATGTCTGAGCTAGAGGAAACCAATCTTAATAATCGCTCAGAACTCCAACATCTTGATGAAATTATTGCAAGAAATCAGGTCCATTATTATTTTGTAACTTTTTATTCTGTTTTCTCTATTGATTTTGAATATTATGATAGAAAAGCAAGATCAACGTCTGTGCAACTGAGAGCACATATTTTCATTCTGATAGGCTATTGAAATGGATGGAGCAATTGTAGAGAATTTGATAGCTCGACGTCTAGTAATTTTAGATAACATTCGTGACAATGATGAAGCAGGAATCAATTATCAGAAGGTAATGGCATATGATTAAGCCTATTATAATTTCCATGTGAATTGTATTTTAGTCGTAATACTAACTCTACATTTTCAGGAAATTGAAGCAAATGAAAAGCAGCGATGTCAACTTCAAGGGATGATTGATGAAGCCATCAGTAGGAATGGGAATAAAACCTACTTGCGGATACTTAGTCAGTATAGGCTGATGGTTAGTTTATTCTGGATTGATCTACTTAGCTTAGAAGAGTTGAGTGGTGACCGTGTTTAATATATATGATTTTATTTCTTGGATCGCTGGTGACATACAATATGTATATTCCTAATTTAGATATTAGAAATGAAAATGAGACTGAGACGGCAAAGATCATTTTCTGATATGCCTATTGTAGCTAACTATTTAATTTTAATTAGAAAGAATAAATTTAAATTTAGTATGAATTAGTTTATTGAACAAAATATCATTAAAATTAATTTAACTTAAGAAGATTAATTGCATTATAAAAATATAATTAGCTTTTAGGTAATATGAATAACTAAATCATGTCTTACAAATCTCATTTTCTCTTACCAAACACAATCAATTTACTTCCAAGCATCACATTCTTAAGCTTTGTTTATACCAAACACCCTCTTATTGCACTAGTTTTGATTTAATGAACGGGCCAAAGTCAGTAGTAGGGGAATTACTTTTGCCAAATACTAGGCAATTTATCTTATTAAAGATGAAACTTGAAAGAAATTTGACTTGATAGTTTCTGACTTCTGTATTTTGTGTCTGTTGACCTGAAAAAAAGAAAAGAAATAGAATAGAAGTTCTGGCGTTACGGAAAAAAAGAAATCTAATGAATATTGTAGATTACATGGATGGTTTATACTTTATACTTCTATGGTTCAGTAATTTTCTTCAGAGCATAACATTTTGAGAAGTATTATAGGGAATGGCTAATTCTGAGCTTCAGTTAGAGATGGCGATGAGAGATCAAGTAATTCACAACCAACGAGAAGCTATGAAGAACTTGTGGAACCTGCTCATGGGACTGGGACTAGACGAGAAACAGATATTGGACCTCGCAGCCAAGCAGGGTCTGACAATTGAAGGCTGGACGTTGACTCCTCTGGGGCTTTCTGAAAAGCAGTCACCTAATTTCGCTTCTAGTAGATCTACATCAGTTGGTCCATCTCCTGAAATAGAGTACATTATTCTGGATGTTCACGTTTCTCTTAGCATGATGTTTGTCAAGATCATCAATTGTATCTGCAGATTTATCCTATTTCTTTTTTGCAGGGAGGGAAACCAAAACTTCTGCGACTTTCCATGCCCTGATCTCTCACCATCATCATATTCAAGGGTGAGGAGTGCCGATGGAAAGCCAAACATGTGGTTTGGCTCCCCTGAGAAGCATTCTCAAGATCTTTACAAGTATCTGGATATGACAAGTCATGCTTCTCATGGTGGGAGCTGGATGTCAAGATCATCTGCAGTTGGTGATTTAGCGAGCTGTTGAAGGTAAGTTTCGTTCCTTTTGGATTATAACTAGTATTTCCATACTAAGATTTCAACACCCAACAATCTCAAATCTTTAGCTTGTATTGGATCTTTCTTCTCAAGAGGTCAAAATGGATTACTTTACTCTTACTCGAGAGCCAGCCTATCTGACGAGCTTGGCGCAAGTCCTTTTCTTCGTATCGCTCCTGACTTCTTTATGGGTTCATTCATTCTGTGCTGCTCGTTTGTCTCCCTAACATCCAATTAATCCTCCTACAGGGTTATTGAGGCAACACCCTTGACTGAGAAATTATAGTGGACGAGGGGATATTAGCAACATCTATTACAAGAAAATATTATTGAGCAACACGATGATACAGCCCATTCACACAGCTTTAATATAGGCTTCATGAATCGTGCTTTAGAAAGCAAGCATTTGGATCTTCCATGCTTTTCTCCGTTTTCTGCTTGTGGGCGAGAGTGTCCTTTGGTTTTGACCTAATGACTCTGATCATAGAGGCTAGACCTCCTACTGTTTTGTAGGACCAAGTTTCCTGATGACAACATTTTTTCTAAACCAAAATGTAAATGTGCAAACTTGCAGCGTATTGTGATGAAGAGATATACCTGTTATTGGCTCGTAAATTCTTTTTCCTCTTCCATAAGTTAATAGGGAGAGAATGGTTTTGGGGCAACATAGCTAAAGACCAGATTTAATATTGGTGCTATTGCGCTAGCTTGCCTGTATATATATATATATATATATATATATACAATGATGTAAATACTATTGGTGGATTGCCAGACATTTTATGGATTGTAAAGTAATTTATTAACTTTTATTTGATTGATGGTGTATATTTTGAAGAAATCTTAATTACTGGCATTGATTGTGATATCTGTTGCAACATTTAAAGAGGAGTTTTGATGCTTTATCAAATAACCTAGATATGTAAGCTTATTTTCTTGGATATGGAGACAATGAATGTTTTTATTTAGACTTTTAAATGGCATTCAGGATGAACTCAACAGTGGTATGAATTTTTTTCTTGTGAGCATGAGTCTTACTACTGGCATTAGCAACATAGTCTTAACTCTTACCAAGGCCATGGAACTCATTTCAAAGAAAAACATCTCTGGTAACAGATGATAGACCTAAACTTATTTGTAGAAGAGGAAGATGGCAAGAAGTCAAACAAGCATGAACTAATTAATTTAGTGGTGATGGTCTCTTTATAACGCGAGGAGTTTGATAAGCTTGCCTAGTTGCCTTAAAAGTATGAAGTTTAGCTTGAGATGAATATAATGATTTTATCATGAAGAGCGGTCAATTACTCCAAATTATTTAGGTATTATTTATTTTACAACTAGGTACTAATAGCTGCAAGTTAATAATTATTAGCCAACCTGAGCTGGCTCATCTGGATCGTAAGTTCGAATTCTCACTCTCCTTGAAAATAATAGAGATAACTACTATTTACTATTTTTTAAGGACTCTAATTATCACTATCTAAATATATATTAGTCTATAGTCATTATTCAACTTAACTAAACGATTACATATGCTTTTTCTTTTTAGATTGGAGATACAGATCTTTACTCTAATATCTATTGTGCTAAAACTACTAAACTACTGGTCTCATTTAATTTTTTACCCCTTTTTTTTCTGTTAAGTTATAATTAGAGCCCTATAAAGTGGGGTGGATAACCTGTGGTTATAATTGTACTTTCACCTATTGAAAATAAGTGGACTCTCTCATTATTTATTTATTCATTTTTGCAAAGGTTATTATTATTATTATTATTATTATTTTTGAAAAATGCAAAGGTTATTCTTATAATCTTATTACACTATCAGTACGAGAATGTGTTCGATTTCTTACCTGGAAAAATTTATTATCTTCAATATTTTATAATAATACCCACTTTATTGCCAAGATCTACTATAAAAATTTGATTTAAAGAAAATTTCACGATTTTTTGTATCCCCACCAAAATTAAGCGTCGAGCCGTACGAGATCGTTCATAGCATAAGGGCCGTGAGGAAACCGCAGTGATCCGTGTACACCATCGTCGGAGCCAGAGGAGTTGAAGCTTCGCCTCCATCTCCGGCTTTCTCGTTCGGTTCATCGATTCCAGAAATCCCACATTAAACTCATCGGAGTCGCCATTTCCAGTCATAGATTGAAGATATGTCCTCGGAGCCACCTCAATCAGAACCCTATAAACCTTACACTCTGTCCCAAACCCTAACCGGCCACAAGCGTGCGATATCATCCGTCAAATTCTCGGCGGACGGCCGCCTTCTCGGCTCTTCCTCCGCCGATAAGACCCTTCGCACCTATGCTTGCTCCAATTCCACTCTGACCCCACTCCAAGAGTTCCAAGGCCATGAACAGGGTGTCTCCGACCTTGCTTTCTCCTCTGATTCTCGTTTTCTTGTATCGGCCTCCGACGATAAGACCCTTCGCCTCTGGGATGTCTCCTCTGGGTCCCTTATCAAGACCCTTAATGGCCATACCAACTACGTTTTCTGTGTTAACTTCAATCCCCAATCCAACATGATTGTTTCTGGCTCCTTCGACGAGACCGTCCGCATTTGGGACGTCAAAACCGGCAAGTGTCTTAAGGTTCTTCCGGCCCACTCCGATCCTGTCACCGGCGTGGATTTTAATCGTGACGGCTCGCTGATTGTTTCTAGCAGCTATGATGGATTATGTAGAATTTGGGATGCCTCTACCGGGCATTGTGTGAAAACTTTGATTGATGATGAAAATCCACCTGTTTCTTTCGTCAAGTTCTCGCCCAATGGGAAATTTATTATTGTTGGGACTTTAGATAATACGTTGGTGAGTATCTTCTTATCCTTCTCCTTGTTCGTGATTCAGGCTTAAATATTATGCTATTTATCACATAATTTGTTTTCCAAGCTCTCTCTCCTCTCTCTCGTATTATTATTACTTTTGAGACTATAGATGAGTGGTCTGTTACTGGGTATGCATTTGCTTAAATTTCCATAGTGAGGTTTGATTTCCTCACATTTAAGTAAAAATTCCATTGATTTTGTTCTAGTTCAAAACCGCGGCAATTACCTACGCTAGGATGTTAAATATGAAACATTTAATCTAGGTTGAAGTTATCTGGGTATTTAAAAGGAACACTAATCAGTAATTTTCTTGGAAGATGTAAGGAAAAACCTTATATATGATTACTCTGTCTACCGAGAGTGCTTTCACCTTTACTTTTTCAGTCTTTTTCTATACCTAGCAGATTCAGAATTGTCGCTGGAATGTTATATCTGAATTTTTGGTTTATGATTTAAGTTGAAGGTACTTATGGGCCTCTTCTTCTGCATTACTATTGCGCTTGGTTTTGCTTAATCTCTCTGTATGTAGTTGGTTTTCGACCAAGAGTGTTATATATTCCCTTGCTCATTCCATTTAATGAGTCCAGTTAAATTTCTCTAACCGTTGTTGACTTGTTTCTAGCGATGAGTCAATGATAAGTAAATTAAACTAGGAAGTGTCTATACTATACCAGTATTGGCATCATATTTGTGGAAGTGAAACTCCAGGACTACTGTTTATGCGCATAGACTTAAATCATCTAGCACCAGGGAAGCTTGGTGTAGAAAAACCCATTAGTACGGCTAAATTAATGTCAATATGAAAGTGATTAAAATTCTTTTTCTCCATCATTTCTTTATTTACAATTCCTATCAGTATACTTTTGTTCAATCACCTCTTGTTTCCTTATCTTTGTGGAACTTATAAATACTTCAAAATCCTTTAAGATTAGTAATTTGAGGGTGCACTGAATAATCAAAGTTTTCTGTAAGTTATGGTCTCTATTGATGTGACTCTTGAACGCTGGATGAAGATATTTATAATCTTGTCCGAAGGTAAATTTGGAATCTCTTGTAAAAACTGTACAGATTTTTTTTGTTTGGGACTTGTTGTTGTTACTATATTTTTTTTAATTTTTCAGTCTGGCTGCTGGGGTTAGGCACATGATATGTTCATACATTGGCGGTTAAGTGTAGGGTCCAGGATTGAAAATCCAATTTGATAATTTGAAAATTGCAGAACTGATAGCAAGCGAGCTAGACTGCAGATCTTCATTCTCCCTATTGGCAATTTCTCATTTTCTATCATTTCACTAATTGGACTGATTCATATGTCGGATTTCTTTTTTTATTCACAGAGATTGTGGAACTTCTCTACGGGAAAATTTCTGAAGACTTATACGGGCCATGCTAACTCAAAATTCTGCATCTCCTCCACCTTCTCTGTAACAAATGGGAAGTATATCGTTAGTGGTTCGGAAGACAATTGTGTATACCTGTGGGAACTGCAGACCAGGCAGATAGTTCAAAAACTGGAAGGTCACTCTGACCCTGTTATATCAGTGTCTTGTCACCCTAGCGAGAACATGATTGCTTCTGGAGCACTCGGCAATGATAAAACTGTGAAGATCTGGACCCAGAACCAGAAGAAAGACTAGTTCATTTGTCATAGTCCAGGTTTGAAAATATAACTGTGCAATAGTTTTGTTATTTTTGGGAGCCAGGTTCGGTGGCACACAATTCTTGTAGCTTAGTTTAATTTAAGTAGTCTAAAACTGTTGAGAATGTAACTTTTTAAAAGTTAAGAATGTGAGTTTTGTTTTCATTATCTGTACCTCTGTCCTCTTTGTCACTCTATCACTTGCAATCACAGTTTAGAGTCGTTGGTTTGCTGCATCCCAAGAATGTAGTATAAATAAGAGTTCAGGCTATGAGTCTGGTAGTGTATTGTTACTGGAAATTGTTACATAAGACATTAAATTCTGTTGCACCCCCTTCCCCACTACTTTGTAAAGCATGCATGTACGCACTGTGTTGTATATATCTATCTATATATATTTTTAAGTTCAACGACATGTAAGTGTGAGGATTTGAACTTCTAAATTTTTGGTTAATAATATATGCGTTAACTAATTGAGTTAAGTAGGGTTGGCGGTGTATCTTTATGTTTCAAACTTAAGACTTTAATTAAAATGAGCACTTGGATGTTTACATTTTATTTCACACTAGAAATTTGAATATGACCATCACACTGTTGTCTTATGACATAAAAAATATAGAACTTCCCTCTTTAAAGAAACTAGAGATGGTTGCAACTCACAACTATATGGATATGTGTTAGAAGAATGATTCCTACATAATAATTGTCCATTTTGAACTCATAACTTAAAGTCTGCATAATCATCCAACTCTAGGTTTTCCTGCTGTTCTCTTATCATTTTTGAAATTCTTGTGGTAAAAGCAGTGCATGTAATGAAGAATTGGTAAATTGATTTCTTCACTCTGTCACTTGACAAACAGAAGATTAGCAGAATCTCAGATGTCGTTTCCTCGATATCCTTCCAAAACTCAAGCAGAATCTCATATTGACTTAAACCACCTTCTTTTGCTCGTTCATTAAGAAATTCTGAACCACCATAAGAAATTTTGAAAATTCAATTCATTTCCAAGCGTCATCTGTGAAAAATAAAAAATAAAAAAACTAACATGTTTGCTTTAGATCAAGACATTTATCAAACAGACCCAATTCAATTTTCTTGTGCTATTTCCAACCCTTGTTCCATTAAAATCTAAAGCAGTAGGTTTTGTATCAATTCAATTCTTATAAAGCTTAAAGCTAATTAGCTCTCATTTTGATTTTGTTTTCATTGTAACAAACAGCACCCACTTTTTACCACTTTATTCATTCAAATTAGACTTGGCAAATGTGAAACAAAATTGGTTTGCAGAAAAGTATAAAAAGTTTTCCGTAATGACGAGACCAAAAAAAGTGTTTAAATTTTTGTTTAATTTGGTATACCATCTCATTCCTCCCTTTTCCTTTTCGTCATTTTCTCCACTTCTATATTGACTTGGCTGGAGGGTTTAAGAGGAAGAATGAACTTGAACCTATAAAATCCATGGTTGGTTGGAGATTTCCTGGAAAAACTCTTTTCCCACTAAACATGAGACATCTTTATCCTGCCAAAGAGGTAAAAACGTGAGTGCTGTTTTCTTGTATACCCTTCTATACCCTACAACTTCTTCTTCTTGTTTTCTTTTTCCTTTGCCTTTTTTCTTTTTTTCTGGGAAAATATACTCAATTTTAAATTTGACCTTTAATAGGTTAAAAATTCTCAATTATATTTATGTCATCCCATACAAAAATTGTTCAAATTATCTCTTTGGAGCACACTAATTGCAGCAAAATATTCTTCCTCCCTCACTGGTGCTGCACCTTCAGTTTGCAGGTATGGGAGCTTTAGATCCCCTAGTCTCATATTGTTAAAAATGCTGACTTTCTCCATCGTTCGACTAAATGGGTGACTGGAAATAGCAATTGGTCACCACATGACCCTCTTTACATTGCTCGGCCTTGCTTCTATGCCCTCTCCTCAAATAAATTTTTGACAGTCAGTGAGGCTTCGATAAATTCCACTTGGAATCTGCAACCACAGACCCTTGCTTGATAGAGAATTTATATCCTGGTCGCTTGCTACAGATGATCTTCCCCACCCTTCTCTCGACAGAGGACTAGATCGCCTCCAATGGATTCATTCAAGCACTGACTTATTCAATGTTAAATCATATAAATACATCCTCTCATCCAGGGCAAATAGATTTCATTCTTACCACACTTTATGGGATATGCTATTCCATAAAAAATGTAAATTCTTTCATTTGGTGCATCCTCCACCATGGTCTCAACACAAACGAAAGCTCCAGAATCGTCTCCAATTAGTCGCCATTAGTCCCAACTGGTGTATTTTGTGGTGCAATTCTGAATCTCTAGACCACCTATTTCTTCATTGTCCCTGTACGTTGGATCTTTGGACTCATCTTTTTGGTATCTTCAATATTTCCCTTTTCCTCTCCTTGAGCACATTGAAGACGTCGTCAAGGAAGCTCTTTCCTTTAATAAGGAAAATATGAGGGAAATTATTTGGAGCAGTGCAATAGGTGTGATTCTCTGGAACGTTTGGTTGGAGCGAAACAACCGCACATTTTCAGATGTCTCTAGACCTTGCGCTCATCTACGAGACGATTCTTTGATCTCATGGTCTTCTAAATTTCCTTTATTATACTCTTTCTACCCTTTCTCTCAATTAGAGTGCTTTTATATAGTTTAGCCTCTTCATTTTGTATGTTACTCGCTTACCTACCCAATGAATGGTATATTTTTTTAAAAAGGGAAAAATATACTTATAATCAAATGAATACAACAAACCATCCTCAAATAAATCAACAAAACTTTCCATAACCATTATTGCCAATTATAATTTAATCTAATTTGCACCAACAAGAACTTTAAACCTCATAGTATCCGACCTTAAATTTCCCTCCACATTAGCAATGACTGTCCCAAACTAAATCCCACAAACCCTACAAAAAGCAATTAAAAAGACTTCTCTCCCTTGAAATAATATAACAATAATATAATTCTCAAATTAGGGTTTGTCCTCAAGCCCTTCTTCACAACCGTATTTTGTTACAGCTTCAATCCACAAATTTTAATACATATTCTCTCTAACCTGCCAAGATCATTTCAAGAGATTTCAATCCAATAGAATTGATCAACTTGTTCCAAGATACCTCTATCTTCTTAATCATGTTTAGATATATATATATTTTGTAATTTATCAGGTTACTTAAAACTAATTATTAATAATGTACTTCCTCGCACCTGTGCTTGTCTTTTTATGGTTTTGGGAATATTTAATTAGGGTAATACTAAGTGGCTTTTAAAAATGTGATTAATCTTATTGTTGAGATTAATTGGATCTTATGGAATAGATTATCAAAATCTAGAGAGAGAAATCATTGAAATGCGTGAGCAACTGCGTTCAATATAAGATTTGTTTGAGCTACCGTATCAAATAAATGGATTAATACTTGTTTTTTATTTGCTTCAAATTTATTGTAGATTTGTTTAATAGATTCTAGCTTTTTATTTTCTTTAGCATGAATTGATTACGTCGATACTATTGAGAAAATAAATATTGAAAATTTATTTAGAAAGTATAAATTAAGAAAACTTTCTTTTTTCCAAATAGTTTATTATAAACGAGAAAAGAGTTTAAAACCTACTCCGTAAAAAAATATGGATTTTTAATCATCTAATCATAATCAAAATAGATTTTAACCAAAAAAAAAAAAGATTTTAACATTACACGAAAAAATTGAGAATTTGAAAATGACACCTAGAGTAGGAAAATATTTTGTAAGTGAAAAAAAAAAAGAAAAAAAACCTCAATTCAATGACGTTGATCCCACAACTTAAATCATTTGATTCAGACATTTTACAGTTTTGGTCACAAGTTGGTAATATCATATTAAGGTTGGATTGGGACTTGAATTTACAAAAAAAAAAGTCATGGAGACTATTAAAGTCTAGTCTCTATAATTAGGAAATTTGGAGGAAAAAAAAAAAAACTATTATCTTCCCTACTTAGTTGGAATTGACCATCACATCGTTCTCTTCGAATCAAATCCACTAAAATATTTTTGCAATCATACAAACCATTTAATTACGCCCCCTGTTGTACTAAACTAAATAATAAAAAGAACAATAACATATATAATATTTTGATCATATGAGCTGTGAACTTCTAATCAACTTCAATCATATAAAAAGTTCATTATTGTCAGGGTTATTAAGAAGATGAGAACCACAAATTAAATTGGTTTTATAAGATTCTTTATTGTTCTTTTTTTAATTAATATTTTGCAACACTGTTTAGTTTCTCTAAAATTACTCAAAAATGATATCAAGTTAAAACATTTATTTTGTAAGCATGTTTTTTTGGGAGGAAACTAACTAAATTATTTATTTTAAAGGCATGTTTTTTTAATTTAACTAAACACTATAGTTAGAAAAATAATAATAATAAAAAGTACTTTTAGTTTACAATAATTACTTTAAAAGACATGTCAAATATACAATAATTATTTTTGTCCAAAATAGATAATATCATACTATACAAAGAGATTCTTTGTTTTAACATTCAAATATAACTCAATCAATAACATTATTGATTATCTCCCATCCCGTGAGAAAAAAAAGAAAGTATTCGTAATAAATTTTAGAGTACGTTATGGTGTAACCAGACATTCATGTTGTTTTAAACTATTTTCAAATTCAAACAAATTATTAATTTTGCAACTAATTTCATTAAATTTTGTCTTTAATAAATTAATTTTGGAGATATTTATGTATTGCAAGATCCGGTAGTATTCAACTCGAAAGTGGTGACAAGGTGTGTTGGGTGCACGTGAATGCCAGAGGAAATTTATGATAAGACAATGTCGTGGCACTCGCACATGGGGGCCTTCACAAAATTTAGTATTTTTTAAACACCTTTTTATATTACCAATACTAATTATAGAAAAACACTTTCTAAAAATAGTCGATTAATTTTCTAAAAATTGTCCTAATAAACTCTTTAATGTTCATTTTCTTCCCTGTCTTTTAATTTGCGACCTTCATTATTCATCTCCTCTATTTTCGGCTGGGAGTTCGGCTACACATTAAATTTTAAACCTTTTTCTGGGGTACTCGAAAAAAAAAAAGAAATGATCATAAATAAATGAAAACTTTTTTTTTTTTAACATAATTTGGTCTCATTGGTTTTAAAGTTTTAATTTAATGACGATGATTTAACCTTAATTTCAAATGGATCGGTGTTCCTTAATTTGTCTTAAATTTTTTAATGGATCGGTGTTCCTTAATTGTCTTAAATTTTTTGAGAAAATGCGTACCTACGGTATATATATATCTTTGGCTCACTTATAATTTT